GGGAGGGGAGGGGAGGGCGTCATATGGTTGATTGCAATAAATCAAAAGCCTCCGAGCTTACCAGACGAGGAAGGAGAAGTTCACCATTGCCTCCCCTATTTAGATATTCAACCCAGTAACATATTTCGTTTAACACAGGCACCTAACAAACCCACGATCGAAGGGAAAGTGGGGGTAGGTATGTGCCGGAAGGAAAGCCTCAGGGCGTTCAGGAGATTAGGTTGACCAAACATTAGTCGTTTGTGTCATCTTTGTGAACTATCTCGCCAGGTGTTTATGAACTGTTTGGATGGTTCTCTTGGACGCTGCATCGGTGGCTCGTGGCTTCAGAATTACAGCTATGTTGTCTTGGAACATGGTATAATGGACAAGAAGTGTGGTGTATGCCCCCACCATAATTACCATGACCTTGAACGAGTACTTAATGGTAAGAGAAAATGCCGCTCTTCTAAAAGTCCATCGCAGATTTCTTAACAAGGAGGCAAGGTCTTTTTCATCAAAGATTACCCCGTTCCGCTTTTTATTTTATTTTATTTTTCAACGTAACAGGTATTCCATTGACAATCACTGTGACATCTCAGTCATTATCATCACCACCGTCAACAACAACAACAATAAAACAACAATACAACAAAACAACAAAACAACAACAACTCTTGAATGCAGCCTTAAACAGCTTTAATAAGCTATCTTCGATATAATCATCTTTTCTTTCTTGTCCACGTTTTTCCCCAAATCACTGTTATTGTTATCATTGACGTCAAGACACCTAAATACCAACTACTTCACCAATGAATTCCCTTCTTACTGAATCAATAAAATTCTGAAGCGACATTTTTTAACTGTTACGTAATTCACTTCCATCTTCCGTTTATTCGACAGCAAGGAACAGGACAGACTACATCGGTAAGTATTACATATAAGCTTAAGCCCCTGTGATTTTGAAAAACTGAAACTTTTCGTAATTGCTTCACCAGACCCCCTCCCCGTTTTTCGCGCGTCCACTCTTTTGCTCATTTCCAGTGGCTGAGAAGGGACGGTCAAAAACACCTTCAATCACTTTATTTTTTCGCAGGTTTTGATATCTGCCCGCTATGTGCGAAGGTTGTCCACAATACATGTGTGGAGCAATTCTTGGAAAACCGTACCAACGCGAACATGTGCCATAATGTGCAAAAGTTTATCAACTGTTATGAAAAGGTTGGTGACGGGTATTGTGCCAGATGGAAGATCGTGAGGAGTTTTTCCAATCTTTGTCGCCAATTGGGAGAGAAGATGTTACAGGAAGATGAGAAACATCGCGGGTTGATGTGCTAAACGCTGGTTATGTTCAACAGGCAGTTAGTGTAATACAGAGCTGTACATAACACATTCTGTTCAATGAAAAGCACAATATTCGGGAATATTAAACCTGAAAAAATCGTACTTGAGATTAAATGTTATTTCTTTTGGTGAGATTTTTAATGACAGCACTTCATAGCCAATGTGTAAACCATAACGCCGAACGAAGATGAGTGCGATATCAGTAATGAAGGGGCAAAATACAAAACTATAGACAAGTAGAAGCAAATCTAAGACTGCTAATAAACTGTTGCGTAGGATGTAACTTGCACAAAACGTTTCCCCAACATTTCCACTTATTCTAAACTTATTAACTAAACCCCTTAACAATGAAACATCCTGTCTAAACCAGATGCTGGCGCAAGTCCTAAATTTTTCCTCCAATTCCTACTGCAGAATTAACCTCCATTACAAGCCCTATTCAGCGCTCTTGTATTCCAAAATTAATCGTATTTGCTACCATCGATCTGTAGTAAGCGAACAGAAATATAAAACATGTTTGAACGTTGGCGAGTTGCTAAACTTGCGTTTGTCATTTAGTTTTTACTGAAAAGTTGAATTATGCAATGCACAATGCTCGTTGACTTTCGATCCGGAACTGAAAAAAGAAAGCAAAAATTTTCAATTAACTTTAGTTTACGTTTCATGCTGAGGTAGCAGTGAAAGGCTCTCAACCGGGTTGCAGTAGAATTATAGCTTTTTTGTAAAAATGTAATTACTTTTGAAGACTATGCATCAAAATTAAAGTTTAAAAACCGGCTGGTTGACCACGATAGGGAGTCTGACGGCCGCGCACTGCTGTTGTCTTTGGGCGGCTTTGTTGTTCAGTGTAAAAAATGTTTAGATTGATTACGCTCAGAATCACTTCAAGCAGCTCATTACTGAAAGCACCGCCATCTCAGTGGTTGGTCGCTATCAGTAGGTTATCGATAAGGGGTAATGATCATGTATGCGATTAACATAAATAGCATTGCGTTCTGCTCGGCTTCTTTCCCAATGTGTTTTTAAATGGCTTCCCTTCAGCAAAATTATCTGTTCCTCTGTCTAGGAGTTGTTTTAAGCTTGTCGAATTCAAACATCTGTGTCGGTGTTCAAGGTCTACCTGAAGAGAAACCACAATGTTCTTTTCCGGGATTTTTGCAATTCTCAGGTCCAAAATTGTCAAACAGAAAATGGCGCCAGTGGTCACGAGGAAATGGATTTCCTTACGACAGAACTGAACCTTTTAATGGATCCAGAAATAACAAAGTGAAAGGAGAGTACACATGGGTGTTTAATACAGGGAAAGTTGAGATATTGGAAGAATCGCATTCTTCAAGAACCAGCTCGGTATTTTACTGTTGGAGAAAGCTTGCCCCTCATGTTTTCATTATCCTCCGCAATGACTCGGTGGATGAAACTCGCTCGAACGTAAAGTATTATTCTTGCATAAAATTCCGGAAAAGAGGGCGAAATGTGATCACATATGAACATTCGCCTTGGAGACCCAATCAAACTCACCTGGCTTGTGATGAAAGTGATCTGCTGGTATACGAAAGTCCTTTGCTTTCAAGTGTTTTAGAGGACGTACCGGATTGTCCGGCTGTGCTAAGGGGAGGATTTAAAATTACTGAGGCCAATAATGAGTTAATGGGAAAACAATGCCTACCTAACAAAGACGCTGCGATTATAGGAACGTTTGAATCTGACTGTATGGGTAAAGAAGGCCTGCGGATCCACTCAACAAGAAGCCATGATTGTTTAATGAACGAGCGTCATTTGAATAGCCCTTTCGCTTTCAATCTGGCTTTGTCTTGCTTCAGTGCACCATGGAGGGATGGGAATTTTACATACTTTATTGCCAAGAGACGAAATTTTGCAGCGAGAAGTACATTTACATTTCTCAAATCAGAATTTTTCTGTGTTAGATTTCGAAAAGTCGAGAACGAAGATAACGTTGTTTTGCAGCTTTATGATAGGCCGATTTGCACGAAGAATACGTCGGACGGAGTAAAATCATTAACCATGCACTTAAGACGAAGAGTTGATGTCGGAGAAACGAACAGACCTCTTTCTGAGGTCACTAAAAGGGAGTGTAACTTCCCCCAAAAAATTCGTGGGATTTGGAAAGAAATATCCGATCATAATGGTTTACGTAACGTTATCATAAACGAGACATCAATTAATATTCCCCCATATGGAAACTTCTATTGTAAACAGAGGCATATTTTTCAGCACCAGGCTCCCCACGAATGCAGTTCACTAGTTACCGGTAAGTGGCCTGGATCGGGACGGTCAAAATTCTTTATCGATGATTATATACTTGTGTCAAACTTTACCAATGGATGTTATCCCAGATTAACTCGCTTAGGTGTCACAGAAATCGCCGGAAGTGATGTGTTAGTATACAGGCTTTCTCAAAGTCAGCTGATAATCACGGACGGTGTTAACAATAATTCTTTAGTGTATTATTACTTAAATCATGTACTACGACTGTTTTGCTCAAGCTGGCTTCCCTACATAAGAGATCCTTATCCTGTTTGGGGTCGCAATATTGACAAAATCATAATAAGGCGCCAATCATCACTGAGAAAAACCCGCTGTTTTCTTCCATCCCGCGGCAAAGGAGTTTACCATTTCAAGTCGGTTAACAGTGATCAAGTCGAATGCAATGGATCTTTGTCACGTGTTGAGTTTGCGTGTAAAAATACGCTTTCATTTGAAGTGAAGTATGATCCAGACTGTCAGAAGTCTGATATTGTTTATTCTTGTATCGGAAAGGCTTGGAAAATGGGAGATTTTTTCTTAGTTCAAGAAATCAAAACTAAAAATATCAGCTGCATGTGGTTTGATGAGTCAAACAAACATATGTTTCTTCTAAACTCACCTCAGTGCTCGGACAAAGACTGGGAACGAGGAAGGGATCCTCCAAAAGAGGTCAACTTTAAAGAAATCTTAAATTTTCAGTATTTTAGCAAATGTCCAATTTATTCTGAATCGCGTGACCTTGACTATCCAATAGTAATCAAGTTTCGGAATATGTCACGTAATTTAAACTTAACGTCACGGGTGCTAGTCTTTGCGTGTTTTCTAATCTATTTCACATATTAAGAGTGCTCAGGGACGAAAGTGTGATTTTATAGCAAGAGAGGGTGATTCAAGACGAGCTATCCATTCCGCACATGGTGAATTTCTTAAATTTATTTTCAAACTTCGCTGCACATCGTAAACTCAGTTGACTTCACGTAGCACAACGTTACCACCGATTATATATATATTAGAGGTTGAGGAATGGTTAGCAGAGACAGAAAAAGGAAATTGAAGTTCTCGGGGGATGGCTCCCGTCAGATCATTCTCTCTTGTCGAAATACAACCTTGTGTTTATCGTATTGTTAGTTTGGCAGCACAGAACATATTAATCATGTATTCTATTAAATCATAAATAGTGATTCTGAATGAAATCGATTAAAACGATATCAGAACAATACAGAATTGATACTTGTCATTACATTTGTGAAAAAAATACCCTCTTTAACCCTGGTCGAGGTAAATTGCTCCTTTGTGGTTGAAACTAGCATTGGCTATGGCAGAAAATCATTTAAAATGTCACTGAGACCTCAACTGAAAAAGGTGGGTCGAAAAGACAAATATTTTCCCAAGTTTCAGTGAATAGAGTGTTTCCGAAATCTGTGGAAGCTGTGAGTCTATATATGATTAAATCGATCTCTACAACTGCCTCATAGATGAACTCAAACATTAGAGCCTGGTCTGCCTGTGCATAATAACTTTCCTGTGGTGAATAACCGCCATGGACTGGGTATAAAGTGTCATGGCGGATGAGTAGTGAGAAATTCTTTTATAAGGTACGTTATACCTATGACCTTCAATATCCTTTTACAGATTTTAACATTTTTAAGATTTTATTTGTATAATTAATGAAGAGAACCTTAAGATTTTATTTGTATAATTAATGAAGATAACCTGATTGCGAAAGCAGCAGTCTGTAACCAAAGTCGAGAAACGTACAGCTGTTTTCCATGATTACTTACGAATACCCCTACAGCGTTTCGCTTTACATTGTAGACGTTTTTAAGTTTATCGTTTTCCTGTACCAAATGTGATTGCGAACGGGGCTTTGCACACATGGGACGCAAAGCATGCATTTGAGAAGGAGAGACTGTTCTATTGTTTCATTTTAATCAGTTCATGAAATTCTCACCAACACGGTTTTGGCTTACAATGCATATAAGGTTACCAACAAGTCTGTTCTCGTTAAATTCGTGGCTTGTCATTCCACTAGAATGAAGATATGTCGTAATTACTCAATTAGGCACCGCCGTCTGAAAAGATTATTTTGGAATCTCAGAGGAAAAAATAATTTAGATTGTTGCTCTTAGATTTATAAGTGCCATTGCGATGCTTATTTTTGAAATTAATGTTTTAAAGATAACACAAATCATGAATTTGGTGAAACTTTATCTGAGACAGACAAGTAAAAGCATTTTTCAGGTTAATCTGACAATCCCATCCTTGAAACTTGACATTACAGGAGGAGCAGCTGCATTAAAATTATGTTAACATAATACAAACTAGTGCATAGAAAAAGTTCATTTTTCTCTCCGAAAATGAGGCAATGAATGACATTTTCCTGCACACACCTCCCTGGCTGTTGACATATTCTTGTTACTCTGAGTTTTCCTACAATGTCTCTCAATAAAAGCATGCACAGTGATGTACAGTACACATGATAAAGTCACGATTTTATATGTATTATTGAGTCATTAGTTTTCTCTTTAACAACAACAGTATTTCTGTCCTGAAAGCAGTGTCAAATATATGTTTTAACTTAGGCAGAGTTAAACACAAGAAATGTATCACCTTGTCAAAAGAGCAGTGGCACCTCACCCAACTCTGTCCATTCTAAGAAGAAACTACTGGACTCAGCGCAAAGGACCAAACTACTCCACAAACATGATCGTGGTTGGAATATCAACTATCATTTGTGGTTTAGTTGGCATTGTGAGTTTGAAGTTACAACAATTTATGATAAATATCTTAAATACAAAATACCTCGCTGTAATTAATAATATTCTTGATGCAGTAATGGTAGTGATTGGAACAGAATGCCAAGTACACAACCCTGCATTGACAAAAACATTAGCACAATCCTCAGATTCCTTTACACTTCATGCTACCTTTTTTCGCAAACTGCTTATCAATAAAATGAGAAAATTACTCATAATTCTCTTGTTTGTGTAATGATAAATTGAAAAGTACTAAATTTGTGTTATTCCTTTCTTCTAGGGTTACCAAAAATGGAAATTAGACAAGGAATATGAAATTTAAGGAAGAAAACTAAAGTAGTGCCAGGCCATCCTAACAGCTAACAGCTGCAGCCAAGGTGGAACTATAGACAACTTTTTTTTTTTGCAAGATACCTTAATATACCACAGGACTGAAAAGATTTTGGTTTTGTTGCCAAAAGAATTTCAAGAATCAACAGATTTTTGCTGTAGTTAACTTTTTGAAATCAGCCTTCTATGACAGCATTAAAACAAATCCTGAAGAGGAATCTTTCAGTTTCCTATGGCAGCGGCATATTTTCCTGGTGAAAAATAAGGATATTGTTTGGTGCAGGTAACAGGAATGCAGACATTCATGGAGACAAGTTGCTCAGTGTTGAAATGATAAAATTAAAATTAATTTTGGAAACTTGTGGATGTCCTTTGTTTGTTTGCCCTGTTAATGTGTTGAAAAAGATGTAAAGTGCCTTAAATTTTATCCTTCTCCTAACCTAAGCTCTAGGAAAAGAAATAAAGGTAGTGACATGTCTTCTTATTAAAAATCCCATTGAGATGGCAGCAAGACTCCCAGAGGAAATGCTAGAAGACAATCATTCATCCTATGAATCATATTTTCATAATGTATGTTATATTTCATGCAAAATTTGTCTTATATATTCCATGGAAAAAATGTCGTAAACAACTTCTTGCGTGACATTTCTTAATTTGATGCTTATGTAACGAAGTTAATTAATTTTGTAAGAGTCACGGCAAGTTCCGTTTCAGCCAGGACGAAGTTTCCTTTTTGATTAAAATGATCGAGAAAGTGATTAAAAGAACTGGAATCATAAATTCATTATTATTTCTGCACGTTGAGCTTTCTTTCAGAAGGAGAGCAAAAGTTCAGAGTTTTATGTTTGCTCGTGCGTGATAATCGAATATGACGTGACGTCGTACTTCCCCGCCCACTGAACACAGACAGTTTCTTGTTTACTTTAATATTCAGACGCGATCCAACGCGATCCAGCTTCAGTGTGTTCTTTTGGCAGCCAAATTTTATCATATTTCACACCTTGGAGCGTTGAATACTACTCATCTTCAAAAGTTTTTTAAAGTACGATGTCGTTCCAAGCATTTTCAAGGGTTGCTCGCGCTTTTAGTTTTGGAGGTTCTCGACAGTTCCTTGGAAGAAGGCTTGGTGAGCGAAGCTCGCACATAAGACAAGAAAAGAGACCAGCCACTCAAGATGAAATGGGCATGCTTGTCCTAGGACTGGGTCTTTTTACATCTGCGAGTGTATGGGTAAGAAAGAAAACGATTTTCAAGCTTAATTTCGGAAGAATATTTTATGCTCGCATTCAAAGGTTAAAAGTGAAAGAGAAAATAGACTTGTATTTGTGCCCTAAATGAAAATTTTACTCAGAGAAGCATCTTGCCTGTTAAAATAGATCGTACCGACAGAAAAGCGTATAAATGAAAATGATCTTTTCTTATAAAAAAAAGGGAGTGTGCAATATCGGAAAATCGAGGTTATTGTGAGGCAGCTGTGTGATGTAGTCAAGACATGATTTTCAGCACGCGTATGTGTTGTCGATATCGAGATCAGATCGACGAAAATTTTGTTCGACGTTCAACTTATTTACAGCCATATCATAAATATAAACAAATAATTGTGATACTATGCAACAAGCGAAGATCTTTCAGTTATATATGTGGCGGAAAAACACATATCCTAGCGTGTTTACAAGGCTTAATGTATGCAAATCATCTGACTTTGTTTTGACAGTTTAGCGCATTAGGCGTCGCTTGGCCGAAACCTTAAGAGATGTAATCCCTACCGTTGAAATGATAAGCATTCTAACCTTATTGTTTAATTCGGTAGAGCAGGTCAAGGTTCGCAGTGATTCTGGCTATCTTTCCGTTTCTCTTCTGTTCTGTTTTGTTTATTTTCAAATAGAAAAGGAGAAGAAAGGGGAGTGTACAAGGGTGGGGACGGGTATCAGGAAGGGAGGGGCCGTGTGGCAGGCCATCGTGTGTAACGCCAAAAAAAGGCAACACGAATAAGTAGGAAAAAATTAAAATCGTTAAAAGCAGCTCTAACAATCTCTATTTAACATTTGCATAGGCATGGAAGGAAGGTGCATTCAGCTCAGTTCTGACTGCAGATGAACAAGCTAAGGTAATTAATAATTTATATATTATTTTGAGGTATGATATTAGCTTGTTTTTTCTAAGTTTGTTGGGCTAATACTGATATTATATCAGCCCACAAGCCATGTCAGGTTTTGAAGAGCTCCACTACTGTTTTTCCCAACTTGGGACAATTGTTCACTAGCTATAAAAAATAATTATTATTTGTTTATTAGATTAATTTTACCAGTTTTTATAAAAAAAAAAAATATGGAAGGTATCTTTACTCAGTTGTGAACAAAACAAACAACTAATTTGTTTCTAATGCATTAAGTGCATAATTGTATATAAAAATATTATTTTTATAAATATTTTGAATAATCATTGGTTATTTGAAATTTTTGTTTTCAGCTGAAGGAAAATGAGTAAGAAGGGCAGATACTGATCAAGAAGAGCTACGGATGTTGCTGCTATAACACTGTGCTAACATCAATTGATGTTAGCTTTACCTCATTCATTATATCTCTTATCTAATGTACTGATAAATAAATTGTTAGTTAGCATTAACAATTAGCAAGTTTGAGTAATTAGATAATAAGGATGTAATTCACAGAACTCTCATTTTGAGAAATAGTTTCCAGATTTACAATTTACAGAGGTGTGCCAAAGATTAAGTGTAGAAAGTTACATATTAACCCACAATGACACTGTGTTACTAGTAACAGTTGTTGAATTAAGTGTAAGGTTTGAGTTTTCACTGAATTAATTTATAAAATAATGATTGTGAGAATATTTTGATTTCCTTCTAACTAGATTATGTAACTTAAATGTTGTTCAATAAATTTGAGTGGTTATGAAACCTTTGTTTCAATTTTTTCCCTTTAACTACATGAACCTGTTCATTTTAAGTCTGGGCCTATAAAATTATTGATATACTCTTTCAAAATTAAAATAATGACAAGTTATGTTAAAATCAAGGGAAGTTTCTTACACTTAGCCAAATTGTAGATAAATAAAGAAACATTTCTTCCTTTTCTGAATCTGAAATGTTTTGTTTGAGAGAGTTCAACTCTCCGAAAAAATATATGCTAGATGTGTTTTTTCCTAGTTACGTAGCTTCAAATGTTCGTTTTCTGGGGAAATTTTGTGAAATAATTTGTTTTATGCCGGTTGATATGCGGCATACTGACACAAGTACATTGAACAAAGGCCTCACAACTGAATAACCCCAATCAAAAAAACTTTTACTTTTTTTTAGTCTACTGGCACCTCAAAAGCAGACAATCAGCTCACTCTGTTGAGATCCGCTCTGGTGTTGTTTCCTTTTCCTATTATTGTGCAATCTTTTTTGAAAATGTTAACCATGTGGAAATATTTTTGCTCATTGTAACCTTACAAAATTTAAGTTTCACAACATCTGTAACCGCTTTAGTCAAGATATTTTAACAGCGTGTTTGGTGTGTCTATGTCCGGCAGCCAGAAATTGGTACAATTTTTTTCCCAATTAATCTCATATAATTTTTATAGTTAATGACCCCTTATTGTGGTAATTAACTAGATCAGACAGTGCCGAATGATAAGTTTGTGTAGCGAGGAAGCAATATCATAGTTCAGTCCCTTTAAACAGTGAACAGCGGTCTCACTTCAACAACGCACACTCAGTAGGGGAATGTCCTTTACACATGCTACGATCGTATAATGTCTCTAGTGACTTGTGGCAGATTTTTCCGGCCTTGCCTGAGTCGGGTTAGACCAGCATTGAGTTCTCCAGGCCGGGCCGGGTTTCGACTGTACAGTTCTTTCGAAAAAAGACCCAATGTTGCAGTCAATCGAGTGTTCACTCGGCCTGCATCAGGCAGTAGTCAGAGCTCAGCCGGTGGATTTATGGGTGATAATGGGATGTTGATTGTTGGAATCGGATTGCTTGGAGGTTCTCTATTATACGTGAGTATTTTTTTGGAGTTTCTAGACGGAGATTGTAACTCGCGTATTTGTCTGCATAACTGCAGCTTCTTTCTGCTTTGAGGATCACCTGCCTCTTACGCGAGTTCGGTTACGAGCATCCATTTTGTGGGAGGGGAGGGTTAGGTTGTTTATGTACCACTGTACATCATATAGAGTTCAAAGTGAAACCATGCACGCTTTCACTTTCAAAAGCTGTGTTTATA